AAAGGTTCCTCAATACATTGTGTGTGAACGGCACTAGAAGTGCTAAACCAGTATCACGAGGATCGCCAAAAAAATTAGATCTCCATCAGAAGATATGTTTGTTGGCTGAACGAATTATATCTGTCTCCATGTTTTCAAAAATGCACAATGAAAAAAAGGAAATGAAAAAAAAACACCTGCTTTCCTTCTTAATTCGAAAATTAACAGCTGCGGAAAGGAGTCTTTTCTACACTTTCTGGAGTTATTGCACACAAAGCCACAACCTCGTCAATGTGTCGTCGTTAAACGTTCAACATCACAATTGTCACAAAATAAAACTTTAATTTCCCAACGTTTTTGTTCATACGCGTTTTAGATTCTAATTTAAAACTGTTATTGCCAGCTGAGATGGTTGGGCAATTTTGGATCATTTTTCACATCAACCATTTTCAATAATTGTTTAGCCTTTGACAGCAAAATGGATCTGGGAGGAAACATAAAATTTATCAATTCTTGCGCTTTTGATGCTGTGGTACGGAGATAATAGAATAATTATGCAATATTGACAGTTCTCCTACGTTGGTCTCATAACACCTTCTAAAAGGCAATTGTCTAAATAAACACTGAATGGCTATCAGTTTGTTATTTGGGCCAATCCAAAGCAGTTAGTAATCGCCTTTAAATTCAAGCCCTGCCTTCTGAATTCTGCTCTTCCAAGGAACAACCGGGGATCTTAGGCTGAAAATTTCTCATCCTCTGACAGACAGACACGAAATTGCATTCAGGTATGTGAATGTTATTGAATCAGTGTAAAAGGAAAAACCAAACTTTTACCAACAATGTGTTCTCTTTCTCTCGTTATTTTGTTTCTGCGATCTAAGAATTTCAAGGTTTACTACCTTAAGGAATTATCTGTTGCTTTAAAATCGAGTTCACGCAGTGGCTATAAATAATCTGGACCAAAATGAATATGAAGAATGTTTTTTTAATCTTCTCCAGACACAAATTGAAAAAACTCGCGAAAAATTTTTGATGCTTACGCGTAATTTCATTGATTTTAATATTTCCCTTGTCATTTCCTCGACGTATTTCAATGGCACAAAACTTAAAAAACTTTTTTCTTCACGAAAAGTGAAGAGGGAAATTAAAAAAATAATGAAAAATTCCATTAGAAATCCTGAATATTTGGCGATGATTTGAAAATCGTCGATATTTTATCAAACTTTAAGCCATCGTATCATGTGATCGAGAATCTTCGATATAAAAACATATCTTTTTAAGCAAATGCTATTCGATTTCTCCTTTTATTCAGAGTCTATTTTAGTACAAAGTGTAAGACAAGAACAGGTGGGAGATATTGTGCATGCTTCCTCGATATTTATTACACAACTGTGCTTTTCATAATCCATATAACCCAGAAAGCAATAGTTCTTTAACTTTTTGATTACATCTACCGGTCCAATATCGAAACATTTGCCCACAAGCAAGGTCGAAGGGTCCGATATAAGCGGTGTCTCATATCAAAAAACCGACTTCCTTTTCCAACGCAAAGTTTGCTGAGGGAAATCTTAATGTCAAATAAAATACGGTCCCTGATATTAATAGGATGTGGTCTGTTATTGGCAAAATCCATTTTAAACATTGAAAGTTTAAAAGGTGTTTTTATTTGCGAAAACGTACGTGCTGTTTGTCGTTCATATTAGTGGCTTTGAACGAAGGTACGGTTAATGACAGGTTATTAGTTTCACGGCCAGGACTTTGTTCTAGTTTAGGTTTATGGCAAACAATTCGGAGACAGCATTGAATAGCTTGAGTGCATAGAATCACGATCAATAATTGTGCGAATGCGAGGCAAAAGAATTCTGTCTGTTGAACCTGCGTGTACAATAAATCGAATAAATTTCCATTGCGGCATTATTTGGGAATCAGTATGGTAAAAGTTAAGAGACGAAATTTTATAATTCTGAATGCGAAATTTTGTTAAGAAAAAGGAGAAGTAGTGTTGTTTTGGCGACATGAGATGATCCCTGCTTGTCGACTTCAGTTGCTTTGAAAGAATTATATGTTGTTGCCATGTTCATAGAAATTAAAACGGATGTTTTTAATGCACAAAATCAATCAGTGGCTTTCAAAGAACACACTCGGAAAATGATATTTCCCTTCAAAAAGCCCGCGAAAGGGAAAGGAACTTTTAATGTTCTTACCGAGTCCATGAAATATAACGCTAATGAAACTCTAATTAAGCGTGGGTTGGAAAAAGGTTTGTATTATTTAGTGTGAGCCTATATGGCCTTAATGCTTAACGAAGAGAAAACATCTGATCGGTTGACCTAAATCCTTAAAACTTCAATAACAAAATCTATCTTGATTGCATTGTCAGTGAAATTTTAAATATCATTGATATTCGAAATTTAGGATGAGTTTTAAGGTTTTGCATTTATGAAGGGTATTTGAATTCCACAAATCTTACGACTGAATTGAGCTCCTCAAACAGCGGCTTTGTTACTAATTAAAGCTTTCAATTTGTGATCAATTCCTATTCAGAAGAGATGTAAATTACGACGGGGTTCCTATTTTTTCCTTCAGGAGTAAAATTTTTCTTTGCCTAAATGGTTAAAATTAAACCAAGGACAAAGCGGATGTTTTGCGAAAGAAATGAATCGCAAAGGCTATAGTAATTGTTCGGTTTCTTTGAGCAGTTCGTTTGGTGCCTTTAAACCCCAGGTTACCGATTAGTTTTACAAATTCGACGACAATATCGATGGAGCTTAATGGACAGTATTAGACGTTGTATAATCCTGGAAATGAGATTGCCTCAGGCTCGGAGACACCAGTGACGATACAAACAGTGGGATGAACTTCATTACTGATAAGCAAACTAATAGGCCCATTACAGTCTGGAAAGTTTCTCGAACAAGCCTGGCTCACATCCTATATTGAAGACGAGATGAGACACGCAAACCCTTTTCTTTGTTTAAAAACAAGTATGCATCTTAAAAATGCTGAAGGATAGATTGAGAGAAGGTTTGAATCGAGCACTTACGTCCTTTTTCAATGTAGTTTGTAAGAAATTTATGAACTTTTCGTTGTCAAAATGAAGAAAGTAAAGAACGGTGTGTGTAAATGAAGGGTGATACGATGTTTATTGCGGTGGTACGCACTTAAGAAATAAAATGAAGCATTGTGTTTACCTCTAATGAATAAATGATCTTAAAAGAATTGATAGTGTTGACAAAAGAGAGCTTGAGCAGGTCCTCTGCACGAAAACTTAAATTTTGTTTACAGTATGAAACAAAGGGAATCTTTAAGGCGAAACATTGGCGTTTTAAAGATCTAAAGGGAAATAAGATCGACTTTTTGACTCTTTTATTGAAAATGTGACTAAGTTCTTTTATCCTTGTGATTTTTTCTCTTGAAACTTGGGTGTTTATTTGAATAGAGTCGTATTAAAATCCATGTTTATTTCCTGAGGATATCCTTTACCAGCTAGCAGCTCTACATATGATCTCGAAAAACTGACCAGGGAAGTGCAAAGTCAGGTGGCCGATCGACTTGACGACTGTGAAAATAGCATATTTTGAATTTCACCGCAAAACGACTATTTTTCTTTTGCTTTTGTGATCCCACGAACGACAGGTCTGAAGTGAACATGGATATGAAGCGTGAGCAGAAAAAAAAAAGAGAAAAACAACAATTGTGCGGTCCTAGTATATTAGTATATTTGCTAATCTTTGCTAAGTAATATCGGGAGAGTTAATCCACTACGAATGATTTCTCTTGCAAATTTCAAGGTAAGGCCTTGTGAAGACAACGTTAAGAAGAATGTTTCCATGCTCGTAACACCATTTTCCGGCGAACAAAGAAACCTTTAAGAAATTGGAATTAAGCGATTTTTTTTAACTTGATCTGACTTTGTTTTGCTCTTCCTTGATTCCGCAAAGCATTTTTTTTTTCATCTTGATATATCTCCCATGTATTTTAGTTGTTACGAAGTTATTGACGTCACGGGGTATGAGCCAGAAGGGAAATGATCATAAAACACGATTTGATGAAAGACATATTTGTTCTATCTAAAATCACCACCAGGCACTTTTTTATTCTCTTTTTAGAATCAGATCATGATGAAATCTACAGTTTTCATCGTCTTTGTTTTGGCTTTTGGAAGTCTAGGTAAGAAATGTTGAGAAAGTTAGCGTTTATTTCATTCCCTGCAAACGTTTCACTTCACTTATCTGTTTTTCCATCCCCCTTACTGTTTTATACTCCATCCTTCACTACCTTCTTCTTTCTTTGCAAGTTTCATATCTCTCTCGTTTCTGTGCTGTTCGTTCTTCCTCTTCACTGCGTGTTTATTTGATATTTCGCCTGTCTATTAGTTTCCTTTATCATCTTCAGATCTTACAGCTCGATTGCCTAGATTTTTCTCTGGTTACTTGAATGCTTCCGTCGATCATTTGATTTATCAGTCCGCTCGTTATTTTTTAATACTTTGGTATTACTTTGCATATGTGTTTCTTTACTTTATTCCAAGCAAGAAATGAATAAGTTCTATAGTTTTTACACTTGTAACTCGGACTGCTGAGCATCAAAGCCCCTCTGAGGTACGAAAATATGGTATGGTTATTGAACGCTTTAATTTCCGACGCAAGCAATTGAAACCGATAACGATGAATTTCTGTTCATAATAATTTTTCATCTTCTTGTCTTCAAGGAGTAGCTCTCAAGTGCCCCACTTGTTTCAGTCGTGAAAGTGGAAAACAATGCGACGCAGTAGCCACATTAAGGACGTGCACAGAACCCGACGCTGTTTGCGCTTTGTATCATTCTGAGTCCAGTTTTAAAGGCGGTGTTTACATGAGATATTGTAGCACTTTAGACCGAGTTTTACCCTTGCAGGCCATGTGCAACAAGCCGCCTTCAGAAGTTGAGGGGCTGGGCTTAGTAACGTGTCGTGCCGAGTGTGAAGGATGTTCCTCCACTTTGGTTGTATGAAGCAGCGGGTGTTTGTTTGTGCACATAACTTTCCTTTACAAGCTCGATGTAGAACTGTAGTGGACACTTAAAGCGCAACTTGTGTCAAGTTGAAATAAAGATACAATACAGATACTGTACTTTGTTATGGTTTATTCTGAAGTTTTTTCAAGGTTTCAATGTAGAAAATTAGTCAGAAATCTTTGATAACGACATAAATGGGAACTAATAAGAAAGTTAGTTCATCAACCAGTTTTCTGAATTGCTACATTAGAAACTTACATAACAAATACAGGTTGATCCTTAAGCAACACGAGCAAATAAAATGAAACAAGGCTCAAAACAAGTAAATTTCCGCACTATCTCCTTGCCTATTATTAGAATTGAGAGTTCTTAAAACAAGCTTTTCGCCTCTTCTAAGGCATTCAAAGACTGATTTCTAAGGTCAAGTGTTGAATATCATGCATTCCAGAATCAACACTTATCTAGAATGATAAATCCAAGGGTTCTTTAGCGTCTACAGCGTTCTTGCGGATTCAATTCATAGTTTCGTCCCTTGCCTTCTCTTCGTGTATTTTCGTGCTATCCGAGTCCGAATCAGTCATCTCAAGCGACAGTGAGTCGCTTTTGTTTACTTCTGTAACCGCTTTAGAGTCCAATACTTTGTTTGATTCAGCTGTGGGGTGATCACTGGGAATCTCCTTATGACCCCTGTTGAACCGCACTTCAGGAATTTTCGAGTCACCTTTTGAGCTTGCCATTCGGACCTCTCTGCGTTGGGAAACAGGTCCAGTTGTACCCAGGCTCTCGATCTCTCTAAAACCTTGGCTCACGCATGACAACTCTATCTCATCGTCATCGTCCTCCAGAGAGAGAAGGGAACACCGATCGTTTTTTGTGGCTTGATCGCTGTTGCCTCCTCCATTAGAGTTTTCAAGGCCATCCCTCTGCAATTCTATGTTACTTGTAACGCTTTCCATGGTGAGCTCCTAATATAGAAGTAAAATCCTGCTTTTCAAATCAAAATGGCTCGTGTTACTTTCCGACGTTCGAAATTGAAACTCGGTATAAATAAATTTTCATGGAAAAGGTGTATCTTCATGGCGTGCCGTTGAAAAGTAATCGAAATAAACAAGCCGAATGCTAGTCGAGTAAGAAATTGTTTTATCACTGCAAATCTAACTACTCTCATCTCAAATATTCACCCAATAAAACAAGGAACCTTTTCCCGCGGATTCTTTCCACGTGATGTCATGTCACCCATTTTGATGACATTTAGCAGTCCTAAGGCAAAGGATCTCTGGAATTCAATTTCTTTCTTTTACATCAAGAAATAAATTGGGTCACTTTTCAACTGGATGTAATCACTACATTGCTTAAAGTTGTCTTACCACACGCTTGTGTCCAGCATCATCAATGTCCTCCTCATCTGTATTTTCACTTCGTGCTGATAGAACCACACTCAAACAGCACTCCCAGTTGCATTGTGGGTTCTTATATACACCATACAGACTCTTACCCAGAGATATGATATATCGAACTGAAAATACAGTAAATAAAAGAATTAAGTGCTCCTTTAATTGTGGCCGCCCCCTTTAGGATTATTTACGATGTCATTTTATCTGCGATCATGATAATACAACAAAAATGCCCCATTTTTAAACACAAAGTAAGCAAAAAGTTAATGGGAGCAGTGGGTTCTTGATAATTCGTTAGTTCTAGATAAATCGGCTCACTGAGTTGTGTTCATCGGCACCATACCCTCACTGACTTCTTTTATTTAGGAATAAAAATGGGTACGTAAGATACATCATCAGGGTTTTCTGACTGGCGATGAGTTTGCACCCTATATATCTGGAGGGAGTAGCTATGCCTAACTCAAGTGGTAGAATCAGAGATAAGATCCCACAGTTAGTTCAACGTATTTTATGAAGCGTTCGTGTGGTAAATAAAGAGGTTTTAAGCATGATTGATTGCTGACATGCATTATCATAAGACTGTTATGTTATCATAAATTATCACATAGGCGGAGCTATTGCTATCCACCTTACCGTAACTGTCAGAAAAAGATAAAAGAGGGAAGTCCCTATTTCGATCTACGTCTTCTATTAAGAGATGAATCCACTCGCAGACCACTCATGACCACAACACAGAGCAGTCTATAAAATAATAAATAGCTTACCGGCGACCAATCCTATTACCATCAAATTAGCCGTCACTAGCAATACAGTGACACCAATTGAATCTTTGTCCTTTTCGATAGAATAGTTCAGCATTTCAGATGGAATCCTTAACAAGACGCCAACACTTAGATTGAAGAAAGAGGCTACAAGAGACACCAGTTGCAGCAGATGTTCATACTTGTCGGGTATTGGCTGAACCTGAGCATACGCTACAGCGTAGAATCCTGACGCCATTGCTGCCACTCCAACATAGGTTCGTCCCTCGGTGCCAATCAGGGCCAGACCGGAAGTAAGAATCAACTTCCTCACCATCTCCACCAATTCCCAGTACCAGCAACGCTTGTCGTAGTTTTCATAGATGAAACGCATACCTTCTATGATTTCATACCGCTTTGTTTCGGTACTTTGGGCGCAGTTTTTGACTTGGGGTCGATAATAAAGCAAGTACAGAATGACTACAATGAACAGAGGGAAAAGCAGAGGGTATGTGGCTCCAACGTAGGCAGCAGTCACGTACTTATTGTAGGACTTGTCGAAACACTTTAAACTGTAATCCATTCTTAGGTAGTAAGTGCAGTCTTTCATTGCCACATCCTAAAGGTACAAATAAAATGGATTTACCAGATGTATCTTACAAAATCTTTTTTTAGCGTAGGGAGCTATGAATCACACAGAAGTCTTAACTAACCAGCAATGTGGCTATATCGACGAAAAGAACAACCCCTTTCAATTGAGGGCCGTGAAGCCAAAACCATAGAAGTTAAAACAGCTAATCAGGGCAGTGCTAAAAACAAAAACAGAAAAGCCAGTGGTCTTTTTGTTTGGCTTCTGATTGATTGAAAATTTGACCCGTGCTTTCTGAACCATGCCAAGCAGGTTGGTATCTGTTTATACAGGAACATGTATAATGCATATGAGTTAAAAAATGGCGATGCGCACGTTCCTTGATTACCCTATCTTAGCAACTCAATTGGTAATTGCTGATAAAATTTACTGATTCAAGAGAACAGGTTTTAAAAAAATTGGTGATGAATCTTTGAACAAAATACTGAGAAATTACTACATAAAACAGTCTGCACAAAGAGAGAGGATTCATCAAAAACAGCCACACCATGCGATTTGTGCAAACCGCTGAACGATTGCGATGACCATATAATTAGCACCTTAACTGTTCGGGATTGTCCATGCTTAGTGCGTAGAAATTTAATTCAGATTAACCGATAGGAACGTGGGTTATATTGACATTGTCCTGATGTTTTATACCTGGCAGATTCGTTGACAGGCAGGAGGAAGCATACGCAGGATTCCTGAACAAACTTCCGGGTATGTAATGAACATAACCAGGAAGGAGGTACGGTAGCAGTGTTCCTTGCTCAGCGAAATCTCCACCTCCTTTTCCTCCAAAGACATATTCTTCTTGAGTCTTAGTTAACACAGAAAAGTACAGAGTGAACCCCTTAGTTGATAACAACTCAATTGCATAAATTCATTTGCATCTCACAGCTCTGATTTTGTTGCCAATTGTGACCTCTAACTGGACAGAAGCACTCAAGATAGAGAAATTTTGATACTTGAAACATAATGATAATCAATGTAATAGTAACAATAAAATAATATAATGTTTTACACTATGTATACACGGCGTAGATCAGAGTTTAGAATGCACGTATCAAACAGAAAAATAGAAGTGTTACCGGAAAAATAGTTTCCTGCTCTGAAAATACACAAACGCTGATACAACGATCCCTCCATTCAACGTCACAATTAACAACAGACCAACGTACGCGTTCATCTTCAAGCTTTCTTTGAAACAATGGAAAGGAGCAATTTGGACCACGTTAAACTGGACGAACTTGATATAGCTGCTGAGCTGTAGCAGAGCTTCAGGCCATTGAACGTACGAGAAGGCATCTAAAGTACCAGCTGTGACCTAAATAAATAGGTAAAAGGATACCTTTTTTGAGCGCCAAAACCCACAACAGATTGACAAAATACGATTTTCTAAGCTGATTTTAACATGCCAAACTAAGTTTGGAATATCTTACAACCCATTAAAATTCAGACTCAGATTGTGACTTTCTGATTCCCACGTTTCTCCCTGATTATTCTCAAGAAAAAAAATTTAATATTTAGCTTTTTAAACTGTTCATGTAAATTACTTCTAACGGTTATTTCTCGATTCCATTTCTGATTCTTTCCTACTAAAATTGCCAAGAATCATTTGTCAACTTCTCCGTTATCTAAGGAGGAGGGTGAATACTCCCTTGCCTTTTCAGGAATGGCAAACCAAAATATGATGTATATCAGTTGTTTGAACTACCTGATAGAAGCCTATGACGATCTTTAAACGGGCCAGCACGATATCAGAAAGTGTACGTCCCTTGATTTTGGCGCCTCTCTCGTCACGGGCAAGAATAAAGATAAGGATGATAATGACGAATGTGATGGCCACCATTTGTATTAAAAGCCATGGAAGACTCGGACATTCCGTGCATCTAGTCATAGATTTATAGTAGCCTATGCTGCACACCTGAAACAAGAAGCAAAAGATCGATGAGGCAATGTCGCTCTTGAACCTATATTCACTTTTAGCAGATTCTCCAAGGTAAGAACATCCATAGCAAAGTGTTCAAACTACAAATAAGACTCAGGATTTCCAATTAAAGGTATTGACGATAAACTAATATTTGGGCATGAAATATGAAGTTATCAATCACGTAACAACGTGACGCACATGAAGTTGATCATGTGCGTCATTTTGACAGTACATGATCATTTACGATGTGCTATTTTCAGTTCGCTTCTTACCTCGCACAGTGGTCCTCCATAACCAGTCTTGCACGGTTTCCTAACGGAGTTTAGGGAACCCAAACACGAAGAAGCAGTGGGACAAGGGTGTGCTCTAGGGAAGACTCCTGTGAAATTGATATCTTTGTGATTGTACTGTTCATCGGGCACCATCAAGGCGTCAACGAACCTCTGATATTCCCAGCTTTCATTGTAATCTCTGAATCTCCACCAATACCCTTCCCTGACCAAAATTGTCTCGTTGCACAGAATTCCTCTGACCTCTGTTGGACACGCTTCACATTTTGTGAACCGGCCTTTTCGATAGAACGAGTCAATACAGAAACAACCTCGATAACTTGCCCACTCATCGCTCTTGGATCCTAGTATATCAAGATAATGGCCGGTAAGAATGGGAATTGTTCTAGGAATAAAAACTTTTTGAACGTCTTATGGGTGAATAAAACAAAATGGGGTGAATCATCCCTAAGCAGGCATTCATGGAGATCATAGGAAATCTGGAAAGGAAGCAGTTGAATTGTTGAGACGAGAGTTAAGGTTATGGGAGTGTCGAGAAAGACGCCCTTAATAAAAATTATTTAAGATGGCTTGTTGTCTTTAGTTTGACATATAATCTCTAAAAGTTCAGAGCTGGATCTTTTAGATTCACATGCAAAGAGTTATGATTACACTTTTCAGCAGGTGAAGGGGAGACTTTTAAAATCTTTTGTTATCGGAAAATAAGCATACCGGCAGGACAAACGCGGCACATTTGCTGACGTTTCCCAGGGAACTTATCTATCCCCACATAGGTACCCTTGGGACAAGGAAGACATCCTGTACGTCCTGCAACGGTTCCAAATTGGCCAACAGCATTCTGATAAAATCCACCTGTTTTAAATGTAAAAGTCTTCTTAAGCAACAATAGCAGTTTTTGCTAAGAGAAAATCAACAAAGAGATTGGTCACGTTGGATTGGCCATCACTCTCGCGACTCAAGTAGCTTGAAGCGCCGCTTGGATTTTTCGTGAAGAATGAATTCACTTCTCTTTTGAGAGAAGTGTAATAATCTTCGCGATCGAAGGGAAAGCTTTTAATTTTTAATCATAAAATCCCATATAAGAGAACATACAGATACCCAGTCTTGTCTCAATTTCGCTCTCGAGGAAAACTTTGGTGCATCTATTTTCTCCTACTGTACATGGGATTTTCCGGAGCTTGAATTAAAAAATTCGTCCTGAATGATTAATCCTCTCTTGTTTTGACGTAGTAGTAATGAAGATAACGGTTATCAAATATACAATACCCAAACGATTTTTGGTTATACTCCTGACCTAACATCCTAATAAACTTCTAGATTTTGGGCTCTGCTTAAGTTACCTGGAGGACACTTTTCGCAGACATAAGTGCCGTTGCTGGCCCTTTTTTGATAAGTACCAAAGTCGCAAGGAGTACACAACTGTTGGCTACATGTGAATCCATTGCGTTCCAGTCCTTCTCGAAATCTTTCGTCTGATGGGGCTGGAAACTGGTATAGATTTTCGGTGGGAGAGCTTTATTGAAAGAAGCCATCATGAGCTGTTGTTGTTGAATAAATTCTTAAAGTATAAGAAAGTACTTATTTTTATCAACTCTTGGTTTATACTGCTATTTTACAGCCTGTTCCATATATTTTTAAATATGAATTCATTTTGTACATTGTTAAGACCTAGTTGAGCACAACTGGTCACCAGATAGCGATTAACGCAACCGATACACTATCAGTGAGCAGTTTTTTTTTAATACAGCTTGAAACTATTTGCAAATATATGTATGGAATCATCTAAACTGCAATCATGCCCTAATGTCAAAGCAAAGGCGAAGCAGCTCTACACGAAAGTTTCTTTCTTTCGCTAAAACTTGAAGCGGACTCTGAGCAAATAACGTTTAGCTCAACTTATCGATTGAGACGAGAAACAATTTTACTTACATCACCAGTCCAACCTTTTCGTGATTTTTGAAAGTTTTCATTTTAACTCGAACAAGAGCTGTCTCTAAAACGTAGCTTTAAAGTGGAGAGGAACATTGATTAAACACCGAC